AGTGCCTACTAAGTTTCAAGCACTGCACTGAGCACTTTTACAAGTATTATCTTACTTGATCCTGACTAGGAGGTAGGCACTATTATCCTCATGTTAACAGGTGAGAAAACTGAGGCAAATAAAGGTTAAGTGAATTCCTCAGGGTCCCAAAGCTAGTAAATTTCTAAGGCCATAATTGAACTTGGTTCTTCCTGACTCTAGTTCTAGAGCTCTACGCACTGTGACACCAGTAATAGCACCATCACTGTGTTAGGCTCTCATCATTTCCTATCCAAAAATTCAGTCTGTTTCCAGGCCCGTGTCATTAAATCCTAAAAGTCTTAGCTTATTAATATGGTACATTTCTAGATCCTCAGGTTATTTTTAAACTCTTCATGCATGTAACATAATTACATAATTCCATTTCTATAGCATTTCAGGGATTCAAAACAATTTTGAAAACAAATATAAGTATTTCTACCAACTTGCTTGTCATCTTACTTCTTTTTCTAAATGACCAGAACGGACTCACAAAGATTTGGTGCAAAGCATCATAACTATCACTCAAAAATGTTTTGGATATGCTGTACGGAGAGTTGGTCAGCAATCCTGAAATAAGATTTATGGCTAAGGAGTGGTTATTGAAAATAACATGGATGTTGAAAACACTCTATGGATAAACTATGCCTAGATGGGTAATACATTTCTAATATCTGCTAAGATTACATTCAGAGATGACATTGCAAATGCTGTTAATCTCCTTAAACACTAATGTGCCTGAAAAGATAATTACGACCTCCTATTATGTAATACATATGTAGCCAGTTCTTTGATTGTGGCTATAGCTAATATGTACAGCAAAGGCCCATTGTTATTTGTGTCTACCTTTCCTGACCTAATAGGTTCCCTGTTATTTGCTTAAAATGAGCTATTTTATCTTTGATTACTAAACCAGGTTAGTCTGTCTGGTGTTTGACTGTTTTGTTGTTCTGTTCTGAGTTAACCGAGCTTATACTGAATTGTTTACGTTCTTAATATCTTCTGTGCCTTTGTTGCCAAATAAAACACTCTGCAAAATGTATAATTCATCTAGTCACTTAAGAGGCAGGTAAATAATAATGGCAAGTTCTTCAAGTCCCTAGGTAAGGTCTATACCTTGGTCTGAACTTACTTTAGTGCTTTCACCATAAATCTGAGAGAGTAAAGAAATGAATGGAGAAAGCAGTAGCTGAGAATCCAAAGCGAAAGGAATCCTTTCTGTACCTCTGAAAACAAAGCCTCCTTGGGGGAGGCTTTCAATGACTTCATCTCTAAATTATCTCATTTCTATAGGCCTCATAATCTGTATGTAATACAAAATGGAATAATTTCATTTGCTGGTCTATTGTGGGTGACCCAGGAGTTAGCAGCTTCTTGGGGTAGGGCTAAAGGTGGATTTACTCTAACTGCCTTGTTCCTCTGGTTTTTCTGAGGTCTCTTTCTTCTGTTGCTTTTCATCCCTGGTGAATTACATTCTCTATGCCTTAAATGACTTGAACTTGGCTCTGAATTTATCTCCCTTTTGAAAGGAAAGGCCTGATGGTTTTTCAACACAGGATTGTGTAGTGGGTGCAACAGCAATGGTATACTGGAATTTGTGTCATCCTACTTGGATTTACATCCCTTCTCAGAGGGCTACAATCTGAGTTACCATGAGCAATATACTTTTCATCTCTGGACCTGTTTTTGTCACCTGAGGGGGTGGGACTAGACATTTTCTATAAAGACAAGGTTTACAACCTAAACCCCTTCCCTTTGTTAGCCATTCTAGGTGTTGTCACAGAATATATAATTAACATACTGTTTATATGTGTATTTTTTTTAGCTATTAAGCCTAACAGTACAAGAGTTTCACCCAATACAGGGTGTTCTAAAAGTTTTTATGTAGTTTAACACCAGTCTTAAAACCGAAGTAGGACTTCTGGGGTATGCTATGTAGTTTTGTTTTGTTTTTTATATTGGGGTTAAGTGACTTGCCCCAAATCACACAGCTAGTAAGTGTCACGTATCTGAGGCTGCATTTGAACTCAGTTCCTCCTGACTCCAAGGCTGATGTTCTACCCACTGTACCACCTACCTGCCCCAATACTATGTAGTTTTGATATTGTTTAACCAGATTCTATGGCCTTTGTCTGTTGTTAAGGATGTTGAGCCCAATTTACTTTACTCCTCTCCGTAAGGAGAAAAAAATAGATGTTTTAACTTCATTTTGAAGAAGCACTAAAAAACAGTGCTATAGCACCGAACAGTGCTAGGCACATACTTGTATTGAAATGAACTGTTTGACTTGATTTTAATAGTAGAAGAGATCTAAATGGGGTCTCTCAATAATGATTACATATTACAACATGTGCATACAGTATAATACAAAAATAGCCACTACTAGAATAAGATAATTCCTACTCTGTAAGATTATATCACAGAAAATGAACTGGGGCAGAAAGGGACCCAGAAGCATGTAACTGTACAAACGATACTCTGTAATAGTAAAAGCAAAAGGTTAAACATTTGCATAAGTTTCTGTGATGACATTCTACAATATGTAGTATTAGTATCTCATTTGTTCTAACAAATATTTTGTCTGTTCGATTTCACTAGATCCAAAATCACCTTCCTATTTATACGTGGTACCTTCTTACATTTTATCTTCAATTCTTCAATGTGAAACCTGCAATTTCACAGGTTTGGGTATTCTTCCACCAAAGAAGATTCCAATCCCACTATGCCTTAGTGGATTGTCTTAAAGAAATGTTGTAGTAAAAAAACACATGAATTATTTATAAATTCTAGTAGTGATTGGCCATAGGGCAAATTTGATGATCAGCCTTGAATTTAACTAGGTTGGTGCTCCAACAACAGATATCCATTAGGTGGATATATGAAACTTTTCCAGGTTTGGAAGTCTGTGGTCTGCTAGTTTAGCCTTGGAGAATCCAGGGTCACCCTCTCACCATCTTAAGAGACATTATAGTTGATCAAACAACTCTTTGAGGCCCCATTTGAGGTTTTCTTGGAAAAGTGGTTTGCCATTTCCTTCTCCAGTTCATTTTCCAGATGAGGAAACTGAGGCGCCTTTCTTAGGGTCACACAGCTTGTGTCCGAGGCCAGATTTGGACACTGGGAAGATGAATCCTCCTGACTCTACATGGGGCACTCTGTCCACTAGCTGCCCCCATGAGACATCACGGAAGGTTCTTAAAGGAGACTTTTTCTTGCTTCAAATGATATATCCCATTACCTCAAAAAAAGCTGCTTTCCTCTTGTGTTCAGGGATTGCCTAATTCCAATGCCATATGAACTCTATGCTTAGGACCCTGCAAAACATATTACTAAAATAATGGTTATAAAAACTGTGAAAGGTATACAATGATACACAAATACAAGTAATTTTTTTTAAATCTTGAATTATGATGAAACCTGTCACTACAGCTAATATATCTCTACTTAATTCTAACACAGTTTCTCCTCTTAACTATATTTAACACTCTGCTATGGCTTTGCTGCCTCTCTGACTGCAGGGGTGGGGCCATGAATTTGAAAACTCATTGTAAGGAGAGACTTCTGCTGACTCTTCTCTTTTCTCACCAGGCTGTACTACCTTGGGACTTCGCTACCATGCCCCACGTTGGGTACCCTTTCATCTCCTCTTTCAGTCCTCCTCTTTTTCAGCTTCCTTTTGTGTGTTGTATTCTATTAGACTTCGTGCTTCTTGAGGGCAGACTGTCTTTTTTTATATTTGTATCTCCAGTGCTTAGCACAGTGCCTAGTATCTAGCAGGCACTTAATGTTTTTTGACTATTAACTAGCTCTGTAAGCAAAAATTTCTGAGTAATGGGATAATGCCCTCCCAATGAATTTCCCAAGGTATGGATAAGGCAAAAGGGAAAACGAAATATAAACATGAAAGATGTTTGGGAAGAGAAAATAATCTACCTCTTTTCAGAGAAAATTCTGGCGGTAGCAATATTTGTCAAAGTACTTCTACAAAGAAAAGCCTGATGCTAAAAATATACCACTGACCCCATCTTTCTGTGCAGGATATGACAGTATATTTCTTGTGTAGCTAGTAATGCGTTCCTAGGAAACAAAAAATATTTTAATACTTTGATCTTGATTATTTGTTTTAAAATTTTTTGAAAGAGGTAATACCTATCTGAAAACTGTTAGTTTGATAACTAGACTTGCCTTTAGACCACTTACCTGCCCATTAACCCCTCTGTAGCAATGCCTTGGTAGAAGATAAAAAAGGTAAAAAATCTACCTGTTTAGGACCTGAAGCTGAAATTTTAATAGTATCAATAGACAGAGTTTTGTATATTAAGAGTAAGCTATCAGGTAGTTACTTTGACCATGGCTTACAATTTGGCAGGCTAAAAGTGGAGGCAACCAAAGCAGGAACACTTGGGCAGGGCAGTAAGACTGGCAAACTCTTTTCAGAAGTTTCAATCCTTCATCATTGCCTTGTAGTAATATTATTTTTGTGAATATGCTTTTCCTCTTCTAAAAGTTATCAAAATCAAGACTACTCTTTAAAGTTGGAAAGAATCAAAAGGAATGCATAACTTTATCTAAATTTTTTTTGGGGTCAAGGCCTGTGATGATTATTACAACGGTGACCCTTTACATAGTTCAATTCAACAAGCACTCAAGTGCAAGTCACATGCAAGCCCAAGGACAAGGTCTAAAAGCTATATCGTCTACGGATTAGTAGGATTGTCAAAATGTGAAATAGGGGTTTCAGAACTGAGGTGTGGGTGAAAAGAAATCTTCAGAGATCTAGTTTTTTTTTTTCCAGAGGGAACAAACCTTTCTCTGGAACGGCTTAGTGTCATAAAAACAGTGGGGGAGGGAAGACTTAGCTGATCCTGGGCCCTTCACCTCTCTAGGCTTCGGTTTCTTTAACTGTAAAATAAGGTTTAATTAGACGATTAGTAAAATCCTTTCCACTCCCACGGTCTAAAACTGTATGTCTCAAGTTCTTAGACCGCACCATAAAAATACTGCAACGAACATAAAGGAAACCAGGTGTAAAGCCTAAACTAGGAAACCGAATATACTTGCCTTTTTAAGAAATTTTGTTTCCGTGGAAAACCATTGGATTAGTTGTGTTTGAGAGCAAGGGGACTCCACTGAAGATGTGTTCGTTTTGCTAGAGAGAGTCTCTGTAACTTTTTTCATTTTAGGTGAGTTCAGAGCGCTCCACCCCTTGTATCACATTACTGTTCCAAAACGGAAGAAATTGCGGCAGACTCTTCGGCTTCTTGGGAAGGGAACAGCCTTATGACAACTTTCTTTTGGGAACAGGTAACTGGGGGTCTGGAGAGGCAGAAAGGCAATGAGGTGATTAGGTCCAGGGCAGAGGGATAAGCAGGAACTGGCAATCCAGTATAAAAGGGCTATCGAGGGAGAATAACAGGTATAGTTTTAAAGAACTGCTTATAGAGTTAATTATCAAACAGCTGTTCTGAGCCCAACACCACTCTAAGTAATTCCCTTCCAACTTCTCAGTCTCCTCTGATTAATTCACAACCCGGTTGAGAAATACTGGATTAACGAGATGGAGAGAGATTATATGGCTGTATAGAGGGAATTATTTTATCAGCAGACTGGCCTACAGATTTCGCAGGCATTAAGAGATGAGGGCCTAATTGTTTCTGGGGTCTCTACTTGAGTCCCAAAAACGAAAGACAGAAAAAGAACGAAGCCGTGGCTGGGTGGCCGAAAGAAGGAATGCATGTCCCCTCACTTGCAAAGGAATCCTAGGTAACCGAGCGGTCGGACCTCGGAGAGAACAATTCTTTACCCTGGAACCTCTTTCGTGTGCAAAGTAACCACGCTTAGGAACCAGGAACAAATTGGCTGGGCTGTGCAAACCGCAAAGGGGCCAAGCCAGGGCCGAGCCCTTGGGCCACACATAGAAAACGCGTTTTCCCCAGGGTCGCCCCAGGTTGCCTCCAGGGCCAGGACTTCTGGCCGGCCGCTGATCCCTTCCCCAGCCGGGGTGCGTACGCTTCCCGGCTCCTCCTAGGTGAAAAGCGGCCTGGCAGGGGTCCAGAAGAACTACCGTCTTCTTCGGCTGCCCCTTCCGTCTTCGAGGTTTCCTCCCGGCTGGCCGATCCAGGGGGCACGTATCGTGTCCCAACCGGCCGGGTCGTGGCACCGGGGTGGGCCCAGTGCGCCTGGCCAGCACGCGCAGTCCGCCCCGCTACTTCAAGAGTTTTCAAACATGTCGAGACCGCGGGGGAAACCACCAGGGCCAGCGCTTTCGGTTTCCGGTCGGCCACTAGGGTGGTCTCGACCTTGGGGTTGCCCACGACGCCAGCTTCCTCTTATCCTAAGAAACGGGGCCAGCCGTCACCGGAGAAAGTTTCTCCCCCAGCCGCAGCTGCAGCCGTCGCCGCCGAAGCCTTCCAGCCCCCGCAACGGTCCTTACAAGAGCCGAGAAGGGCTAGTAGCCGCCACGTGCGCGCCGCGCTTGCAGACGCGCGGGGAGGAGAGTACGGGGGAGGGGAGGCGCGGCTGGAGGAAGGCAGATCGGCCCGAGTGGGGGGACGGGGTGGGACTCAGACACTAATTCGCTGCTAGCCTTAGAGACCGCTCGTCGGCGGCATGCGGACCCGCTCCAATCAGAAGCGCCGGCCTGGGAGTGCGCGCGGAGTACCAGAATGGACTAGGCGGTGGGGAGGGGGCGGGGAAGGGAGGGAGAGCAGGTCCTCCAATGGCCGCGCCGCCTCGCGCTTGACGTGAAGCTCTCCCGGTCTCCGAGGCCGCCAGTCTCTGGGTCTGGGTGGGTAAATTCGAAAGGAGGAGTGGGGAAGGGAAAGTGGGAGGGACTTCCGCCGGAGTCCCGGAAGTGGGGGGCTGTGGGTTCTCATGCGAACGGGAAGGAGCGTTGGGGATTTGGAGTCTCGAGGTTGAGATATTTTCGGGCCTGAAAGGGGAAGAGTCCGCTGTCGCCGCCGCCGCCGCTGCAGCCGCCCAGCCCGCGCCGCTCCCCACCCTACCCTCCCCCTCCTTCCCGGCGCCCGCCCGCTCCTCCTCTTCCTTCCCCCTTCCCTTCCCCTCTCCTCCCCCCCAACCGGGTCCCCGCGTGTGGTGCGGTCTCTGGGAGCAGCCGGGGCTGCGGCGGAGGCGCCCGTGGCCGGGGTCGGGCGGCGGCGGCGGCATTCGCAGGAGCAGCAGCGGCGGCGGCAGCAGCAGCAGCAGCAGGAGCCCGAGCCGGAGCCGGAGCTGGAGCGGCGGCGGCTGTGACAGGTGAGAGCCGAGCCCGAGGGCTTCTCGGCGCTCTCTCCTCTCCGACTCTGGGCTCGCGTACAACTCCCTTTCCTGCCGGTGCTGCCCCTGGGCCGGGGGCCCTCGGGGCCAGGGTGGGGACCTGCTCTCCTCTAGTTCGGACCCGCCGCCGCCCGTCTCGCTCCTGTCACCGGAGCCGCCATCTTCCCGCCGGAGGCTGCTCTCTGGGCCCCGGTCGGGCCGGCTGCTTGGTTTTGCGGGCGGTTCCTTTGGGTGAACGGGTCCCGTGGGGCCGGGCCCGAAGAGGGGCAGGCTCCGGGGCCCAGGGGCGTGCGGCGGCTCCAGCCCCTTCCCCACACTCCCCCACTAGTACTCCGCGACCCTCGCACCCTGGTCCTTGACTTCCCCAGCATCCCCAAGAGTACCGTGTTGCGGGGAACCGGAGCCCCCCCGGGGTGCATCTGTATTTGGGCCCTCGCCACGTTCCCAGCCCCTGGGATTCCCCTGGGCCGGGAAGCCATGTGGCCGCCGAGGTTCCGGGGCGCTCTCTCTCCGGGCCCCCGGGGGGCGGGGGCGGGGGCGGCGGGGGGCGGCGGCCGGCCGAGTCCGCGCTGTGTCAGCTTCTCCCAGACCTGCAGTGCGGCGGGCCGTGCCCTCCCCTCCCCTCGGCCGCTTCCCTCCCGCCCCTCGGAGAAGTTGAGCGCCCGACCTCGGCCAGCGGAGCGCAGCGCTTCGGCAGCTCCTTTAATTTTCGGGTCCTTGAGTCCTGGGAGGACTGGGGCGGGGGGAGGGGGTCATCCAGTGGCGGACGCCTCTGAGCGGGGTGGGGCGGGGGCTCTAATTAGGGCTGGTGCTCCGCGGCTGCTGGCCACCGACGGGGGAACCCCACGCTTCTTCCAGGCTCGAAATGGTGTCGCGCATCCAGGGACCGACGATCGGGAATTTCTGCCCGACTGGTTCTGTTGGCGGAAGTGCAGCCCAATAACTTTATTCGTTATCCTGGCAGCTGGGCAGTAGTGCCGCATCGCCGCGTTAGTGGAGTTGTTGAATGGAAAGGAGATGATCACGCTAGCCGCGTCAGGTTGAAATGTGTGTGGGAAGATGTTTTCTTCCCAAGAAATGTGTTACTTTGTAACTCCTAAGGGCTTTAGGGTTGCAAAGTAATCCTGAAGTATAATATGGAAATTTCAATACGGCACAGTAAAAAGTTTGTGACAAGCACGACTGTCAGTACGTGTTTTTTGTAATTAAGAAGTGGGGTAAACTTCAGAAGTTAAAATAAAGTGGCCTTATTTTTCCTTTGTGCAAGATCTTTGTCCTTTGGTTTCAGTTTTGTTGAGGGATTTCTATTAGGATGTTACTTTATAATACCATTTTAAAAGTTTTCTTTAACTTTTAAAGGCAGCAAGTTTGAGTTGAACTTTTCATGGGTACTTTTAAGTGACAGTAAGAGAGCAGAAAGAAGTTCATTTTTCTTTGAGAAGTCACTGAGTGGGATCAGTTTCCATACTGTTGCCAGTCCCTTCCTTGGAGGCTCGTTCTTACCAGTCAACTTAATTTCAAAACGTGATACAACAGGACCTCTAAAACTGTTTCTTTATTTTTCAGTAATGGTCTTCCTTTCCTTCCGCCTCCAGTATTTATATGCTTCTATATAACACGGGACTTGAATTACTTTATCCTTGTTTTATGATGTGTATAGATACAAGGCTTCCTGGAATGCATTTCTACCAAGACAGAACTATACAGAAGACTTGGAAATTTTTGTTTGGTTAAGATGTAAATACTGTGGCTTTCTTTTGAATAGTTGATATTCTCTTGGTTTTATTTGCTTGTAAGGTATACCATACCTAACTACTAATCTGTGTCAGCTTTACTAGGAATTTATCTTTAAAAAAATCAAGCTGAAATGGCCACTTTTTTGATTAATGTTATGTGTTAGTTGCTGAAGTTTATATTGGCCATAAGCTACAGTTAGAAGTTAGAAAAAAACTTTTCCTAGTTAGTTACTTAATGAAGCCATGTAGCATCATAGGGTTTAGAGCTGTGAGGGACTTGAGAAATGAGAAATTATCTAATGTAACTTCATTCTGCAGATGAAAAAACAAGAGGCCCAGAGAGGTTCTTGCCTGAGGGTCGAATTGCTACTAAGTGGCACAGTTAAAATTTGAACTTGATCCGTCCCACTCAAAATCTGTTTTAACTCAAGACCGAAATAAAATCCCCCATCCTAAAATATTTAAGTGTGACCTCCCCAGTATTGCTTCTGATTTTTGTTAATTGCTGTAAATGGAAATATTATAATGTATTCATTCTAAGGTGTACTTAGCATTGTATAGAACTTTTCACTTTTTTCCTCCTAAAACCTTGCTAGAGAGACCTGTTATGTTCCATTTTATTGACCGAGAAGGCAGCTCTCACTCTGGTATTTTGTGCGGGGTCATAAGTATATTAGAATGGTGAAAAACACAGCAGTTTAGGTACAAATCTCCTAAGTTCCATACTGTGTCCATTATGTTAGGTGAAGATGATGACTATTTGAAGCTTTGAAAAGCACACACATATAACTGCAAAATAATTAAAATACCGTTTATTATCATCCTTCTTTGAACTGAGATACTCCATAATCTAACTCGAGCAAATATGTTTTATGATAAAATAGATGTTTTAAGTATGACCCTATGGTTCACTTTGTGATTGTTTTGCTGGTTGTTTCTTTGAAGTTTGAAAATTATCTTAGCTTTCTAGCTGCAAGATAATTTCAAGGGAATTTAGTCAGTCAATAATAAATTTTTATTAAATAGCTGTTATGGGCTAGGTACTGTGCTAAGTGCTGGGGTACCAAGAGAGGTAAAAGACTGTCCCTGTCTTCAAAGAGCTCTCAAACTGGTGAGGGAGCCAAACAAATACCTACAAACAAGCTACATACAGGAAAAATAGTAATTAATTAAAAGAGGAAAGGCACTAGAATTAATAGGGATCTTGAGTAAGGCTTCTTGTAGAAGGAGCGGTATTAGTTGGGACTTGAAGGAAGCCTGGAAGGTCTACTGTGGACACAGATGAGGAGGGAGAAAAGTCCAGGCATAGTAGGGATAGTCAGAGAAAATGCAGCTCAGTATTGCCCCTCCCTTCCTCCTTCCAGGAAAGATGGAATTTCTTGTTCCAGAGAACATCCAGGAGGTCTGTGTCATTGGATTGAAGAGTGTGTGGCTTGTAAGGTGTAAAAAGACTGGAAGGGCGGAGGGGGTTGGTTAAAATTGGCTTTGAACACTAAAATGAGGGTTTTGTGTTTGATCCTAGAGGCAGTAGGGAGCCACTGGAGTTTGAGTGGGGGGTGCTGGCTTCCCTATAGGAAGGCAAACGTTCCCTACAGGAAAATCACTTTGCTGGCTGAATGAAAGTTGACCTGGAGAGACTTGAGGCAGGTGGAACCACTAGCTAGCTATTGTGATAATGGAAACATAAATTTACGATTTAGTTAACCTAAGTTCTTTTGTCTTATCCTTATAATATTGAAAGTTTTTTATTTCTTTCCACTTGTTGAAGATAAAATGATGAAATAAACAATTTAATATTTCTTGTTGAAGGTAAGCAAACCTGTAGGAAATGCAGCAAAAATATTTAAGTGTTTGGCTTAGACTCAGTTCTGTTTAAAACTTAACTATTTCTTAAATATTTTTTCCCATGAATTAGAAAGTCATACTGCTTGAGACAAATGCTTCTATGCTGGCCAAACTTAAAAAAGTGATAATTTTACCACAGTTTAACATTTTGGAGACTCAGTTGCTGTTGGTGTTGGTTTTTGTCAGAAAGTACTTTTGGCCTGTTGAATTTGCCTGGTAGAAGGCAAGTACCTTCAGAGAAAAGACTTTTTCTTTTTTGGGGTGGGGGTGGGGTGGAAGGGGCCCAGTGGAGTCCTTGTATCCCTTTTGACCTGCCGTGTGCCTTATCCTTTACCAGGGCTTAATAAATGTTGATTTAAGTTAAATTAATCTGCCTTTACCTTGAGCCTCCTGATTAGGAGTGGATTGTTGGCTAAAGGAAATGCCTGAGGGCCTACGGTTAGAAGATTGGGGAAGGAACAAATTCTTAAATTGAGTGGTGGGAATCATGCTTAATATACTATTTTTATTTAACATTCAAGCAATAATTTGTTTCTGATTTATTAGTTTTTATTTCATAAAACAGAAATTTTAAGAATAGTTTAATTACTCTTCTCCTCTTAATTCCCTTATAACCTCTCTCAGATGATCTAAGGCCCATTCCAGATATAAATCTTAAGTCTTTTCACTCTTTTGGGTGGCACAGACTGTTGCTGCTCCTGTTTTAAACTTGCCTTCATTGTTTGCAGTTATGATGTGACACAATTTCACTTCTTCCTCTATACATATTGTTCTTTCTGCACTGTTAACATCTACTGCCTCTAATGTGTGAGACTCACACTAGAATTTAAGCCTGATAAAGCAAGATGGACTCATACTGTGCTAAAGGTATTTGAGGTTTTGCTGATGCTCTTTTTAAGATTTATTCAGTTATTTTATCTGGTAACAAAAAAATAGTTGCTTTGTGTTTTGTTTTCAGAATGGCAACATTGCTAGGTTCTCCCAAGTTAATTTTAGATTAGTTGTTTTTGGTTCTTACAGCTGTCCCTTGATTTAAAAAAACCCCATGATTTTATTTGGGTGGTGATGGAAAAAAGTCATGTACTCAGCAGTCCAATACTTTCTTTTTGCAAAGGATTGATTTTTGTGTTGGGGATTATGGTTGATTCAGTTTGGAAAACATTTTTACCAAAAAAAATTATTCTTGTGGGGTGCTTTTATGGGGGGAGAGGAAAAGGAGGTTGATAGAATTTTTTATTAATTGATAAATGAGAGAGGGTAAAGTAAATTTTATGTTAAGGGATTGACTTAAACATAGATTTCCTTGAAATAGAATGTTCATTTACAACAGTTCGGGAAGACATAAAACACTCGTAAAGGTATAGATTATAGGAGTTGAGAATTAAGAAACAGCATTTTTCTTTGAGCCTTTTTTTTTAAAGAATGGCTGCATTGCCGTTATCTCCTATGTTACCTTTAGAACAGTGGTTTGTAGTTTAGATTATATATGTGTCCCTCATTTATAAAAAAATAAAATCTGTGTTCACTCTAAGGGACTTGAAATCATTTTCACTCCAAAAAGATTTCACTGTAAGGAATGTCTGCATCTTCTAGTTAATGGAAAATGATTCAGTTACGGCACACCTTTTCAGGAACACATTCATTGCAGTATATATTCCTGTGTTCAGACGTTATTTCAGAACAGACACAGTAGGCGGATTCAAGAATTGGTTAAAAACAATAGAAATTAAAGTGGCATGTTGGGAAAGTTCATAAAGAAGAGGAAAAGATAAGCAGGATGAAAAAGGAATGTTTCTTAGAATATTAGACTTCAGAACTTTTATTATACCTGAATCTTCTTAGTTCCTTGCATATTTAAAGTTCCATGGATCAAAGTTCTGGGGTACAGGTTCTGACGT